CCCCCCACCCCTTCCCACAATTTATCCCAACACCAAAGAGAAAACTTTCAGGCCAGAGGCTTCTATAGGGGAAGGGGGAAGTATATACATTTATTTACACAAATAAATACTATACAAACTAAAGGCAACTATATATATATATATTACATTTCTATCAGTCCTTTTAAGCCCCTCCCTTTAACTTTAGTCCAGGAGAAGCCTTCCAAGGCTGATATGTAACGCAGTCTCTCTCTCTTTCTCGTGGGAGTGTTCGGGGCCCCTGAACACTCCCCCCCCAACCAACCTTCAGCTGTTTGCCAAAGTCTTTCTCCTCACGAAGTCCAAGAAGGTAGCTTTGAGTTCTTTCTCCTCGGTCCTGTGTGTCATTTCTGCTGTATGATCTCTCTCAGTCTCATACCTCGGTTCGCTGTTGCTGTAGTGTAGCTTATCATAGTAGGCATTTGGAATCTTCATTCCTCCAAGTCAGTTTTTGGCTGCCCCCGGTCAAACTCGGCAGGGCAACTCCCAAGCCTCTTGGCCCGTCTCCAATTTCGCCTGGGATTCTTCTCCGGAGTGCCGAGCTGTTTCATTACCAGCCCGCCCACTTGGCTCTGCTCCAATGCTGAGCCTCTCCTCCACTTTACAGCGGAGGGAAAGAAAAGGCCCCCCTCTACAGCTTAACTGCAGAAAGTGGGGGGGAAGAGGGCTTGGCTGCAAGGCCTGCCTCTCTCCTCTTATCTCAGGTGCTGTGAGTCGCATCCCTCACAAACACTCACTCTAAATGCTGCCTCTAACTCTTTCCCCCCCGGAGGGGGAAAGAAGGAGCCCTGGCCTTCTCCACCCACACGCAGCAGACACCAACAGAGAACTGCCAACAGCTTCTGGTGGCTGTGTATATATGATTTTTAGCAGAAGCGAACAACATGGACAGTGATTGGCTCTCCAGGGAACACTGCCCTGGCACCCAATCACCTCTGAGCCCCCGACTCCTGGGGGGGCCATCTCAAACCATGACACCTGGTTATCAGTCTCGGGGCTGTGCTTGCCCAAGGGACTGGAGAGTCCCATGGAGAGTCCCAGGGATTTGGATTCCCAGTTGTACTCCCTAAACACAGGCTGTTTGCAAAGCTCAAGCAGGAGTTATTGGCAGAGGGCTTTAGTTTGGGAGAAGATGAAAAGGTCCACCAGCTTTTGAGGAGAACAAGAGAAAACCAGATGGAAAATGGGCCTACAATTATTGTTTCTCACTTCCCCCCATATTTTTTCTCTTTAAAATTCAGTCCCATTCCATTATGAGGGGGAAAAAAAAATTCCTTAACCATGTTGAATTTTACCCTTTCTAATTTTTAAAAAGCCAAGAGGAGAGAGCTGGCAAATCATGGAATATCAGGGGATTGTTGGTGTTGCAATGGTGGTTCTGGCAACTTCAAGTTCTCAGAGAACACAAGTCTTTGAAAAATGAAAGTATCCTCACGCGCAGAGCATGTGCTTCAGATACCACACTCTTCTTTTACATATTACTCCTGAAAGGTAGATCTTAAGACAGCAAAATCTGAGGCAGATAGAAGGGGGAGGATGCAATGTATACACAGATTTTCTACATGTAACAGTTGCTGCTGCAAAATTACAAGGTATTGGGTTTTTTGTTGTTTTCTACAGACCTTTATTAAAACACTGTTCAAGGTGAATGTATTTTATTTACTGGTGAGTGTTCTCTACTTTTGCCTTGTGCAGTGACAACACTGAGAGGGTGGATCTGGAAACTCGTAGACTTGAAGGCCCAAAATCTAAAACCTTTCAAATCTGGAGGTTTGTGAATTTGACCCTTGGACCCAGCCCATTAAAAGAAAGTGGCACAAGCTACGAAATTGTGTCTAAATGTAGTTCAGTGCTCAGGATTTGGTGGTTCTTAACCTATTTTTAAGAATTACCTTTTGGACTCTCACCTAACAGTGCCTCTTTTGTTCTGTAGCCTTTTCGGTGACAGTGTGTCAGTAACATGTTGCCTGGGGAATGTGAGGCATTTCCTTGCTTGCATGAGAAGTCTTGGAGTGAGGAATGAATATCTCAATTGTTTTTCTAATAAGAGGACCCAAACAAAAGGTGAGAAAATAATTTATTGTTTCTCAGACTCTACAAGGTGAGTCAGTAGTTGAAGATTATGAAATAGTTAACTTTGACACAGGAATGACCTGAATGAAGTGTATCTGTGGGGTTTTTTATTTTGCAAGTCTCCATTTGACCTTGAAATGCTTGTGAGAAAAGAGTGAAAGTGAGTCTGAGGAGGGTTTGGAGGCAGGTATTGGCATTCCAGGGCTGCTGTACAGGGAAGGAGCTGCATCCCTTGCCATCCAGCAATCACAGAGCCCACTTGTGCATCACAAAACAACACAACCTGTCAAGTTTTGAAAATTCCTTTCAATTGCAACACGAAAAGAAGAAAAAAAAGAGCTGCTGGAGAGTAGGGTGGCAGAGATAAGCAAGCAGAATGATTTCAGTACTGCAGACCAAAATAAAGGGTTTGCTTTGTAACGGGAGACGAATGTAAGCCATAAACCTTGACTCAGAGACTTTGGGTGTTTATATAAGCTGTTTGCTGTGTATGCTTCTCAGTCAGAGTATCTGAAGGATGCTTGTCTTGGCAAGGCTTAGCTTTTGATTTACGACTAATGTGTTTAACAAATTTTAAGGCAAAGTGCAGAATGCATGAAGCTGGTTGGTAGTAAAAGTTGCTGTGTGATTTGAAGTAAGTTTTTCCCAGGTATAAACAGTTACATCTTGGAAGGGCTTCTGTGCTTTATGCTCTCAAAATACTTTTAAGTCGTTTCTGTGGCCTGATAACTTTTATCTCAAGGCATTTCTTACATGCTGTGGGATGGGCTTCTATCCTCAGTGTGCTTCCATTCATTTTTATCAGTTAAAGGAAATAAATAATGTTTGTTGTGTAATAAAGAAATAATGAAATTCAGGGAACAAAGAAAGGATCTGGACTTAGGGAACAAAGGGACACTTGTTGCCCTTTTTGCAGTCCTGCGTCATAGGAGAATGGTATTGCTTTGATGTCACTGCTCAGCAAATTCAAAAAGAAAATTATTTATGGATATAAAAATAAATAGACATTATCAGTTTAAAGTGAACCTTTGCCAACATTTGGGTTGGTTTTATCTGTAATAATGTTTATCCTTTTTGCATGGTTGAGTGTTGGGCTCTTGGAGGGTGCTGAGCCCAGCACTGCTGGGACAGGGATCCTTGTAGCCATCTTCCCAAAATGGAGCACTTGGACATGGAAGGACCAGCCAGATGATGTGTCTGGTCTCTCTTTCTGCCTCTGCCTGTTAAGCCATTGTTGGATTGAGAGCTCAGGTACCTGCTGGGAAGAACCAAGCAGAGAGTAGCTGCTCCACACCTCTGGAAAGGGGGGCAGTGTCTAAATTACTCGGCCAAAAAGCTCATCTGGGCCCTAACTAGTTTCCTCTCACTGCCTCATGCTCAGATATTTCTCTATGTTATTCCCATTAAGATATGCAATATGTTCAACAGGAATCCATTTTCTTTTTTAGTTTCTTCTTTCAGGCCTGGACGGAATGAAATGGAGTTGGTTTTACATTAAAAGAAATGTTAATGACTCTTAGTGTAAATGATCTGAATATATTCATTAGTAAGTGTTGAAATCCTACTGACTGGTGGCACTATAGTTGAGCATCTTCAAAACATCCCATGAGAAACTGTGCCAGAGATTGAGACTGAATTCATTTGAAACAATTTTTAATTTTGATTGAAATGTGTTTTGCAAATAATCCTCTCTGTGTTTATGTTTCTCTTCTTGCCTTCCAGAAGACAAATAGATGTGTCTGAAATGACATTTGTCTTCATGAAGTAGAACTTTATTTTATAAAAATTAATTGCTAAGGGTGTATTGTTTTAGTGTCGTGAGGCAAGAAAGATGAATTCAGAAGTTGCTTTAGACCTCTCCTGCAGTCATCTCGTAGATGTAGGACTCAGAATGCAGGACATGGATTTTGACAGCATCTGGGGTTTTATTTTTGCTATAGAACAGGATAACCCTCCCCATGAAAGATGACTGCAATTTCTTAGCTTTTTCGTTTGACTTTCATGGTAGAGTGGAGGGTGATCGCCTGATCTTGGGGGTCCTTTTTTAACGCTCCCTAACAAGCCCTAATCAAGATTTTTAAGTTCTGCACATCAAAATTTCCTGGCTTAAGAAGCTTTTACGTGTGAATGGGAGAACTGGGAAACTCAAACCATCCCTCTTACTTCATCATGTTATAACAAAAACCTGAAGCTGATGCTTTATTTCCCAACACTGAGCATTTGCAGCCCATGTGCAGAGAGAGGAAGGAGGGTGGGACAAAAGGGAAGCCCCTGCCCTTCCTTAGGGAGGTCACATCCAGGGCACGGTGTGTCCTTTGGCCTTCAGACCTGCTGGCAGCTGATCCTCCCAAGCTCTGGGAACCTCTGGGTTTTAAAGCCTGGTGTGTTTTGCAGGTGGACATCCAGGATAAGACCACCCCCAAAACAACAACAAAAATAGGCTTGAGGATGTTGCCCCTCGATGCCTCTGTGTGTGTTGTTTGATCTAGAGAACAGGCAGCCTCTGGATGGGAAAACTATCATTTCCTACATATGTAAAATGCTTAAGTGCTTTTTTTTCCCCCTCTTCTTTTTGAAGTCTGCCATCTTAATTAAATATCTGATTTTGAAATCCATATTCAGGCAGCATCCAACAGACTGCAGTTCCATTCACAAAGCCCCTTGTTTTTTGTTTTTGTTTTTTTCCCCTGGCTTTCCTCGTGTTTATTTGCAGGGCAGCATTTTGTTTTCTCTGTGAGCTGTTTGGAAAATGTCTTCACAAGCGCTGTAGCCAGAGGGTTTGTATGTCATTCAAAAATAAAAATAAAAAATCTCCACCTACTGAAAAGTGAACAGCACAGCCCTAGCAACCAGCTGGTGCTTTCCAACCAGAGGAAGGGACGTTAAACAAGTAAGACCAAATTACATCTTCTCTTTGGCCAGGGATGCTGTGGAAATGCCAGCTAGTGATAAGATTAATCCTAACTGAGAGTGGAGAGAGCTGCATTTGTGGTTTATTTTATTTTTTTCATAGTGGGTTGTAAATATAGCCTTGACAAAGCAGTTCTTGTCGGCATGAGCAAGGTGTTCAGCTGGGAGCTCTACAAGGGGGACCAGCCTCTCTAAAAACACCCCCCACACCCCATCTTGCACTGGTTGTGCACACAGGAAGGTAAGTGTTGTTTTCTTGGAAAGCAAGGAAGTTATTTGAAATGGTTTGACGGACAGGGAGGGCACTGTCAGTACTTCCCTCTCAGGTGTGTTGTCGATGACGTTGTGCCAGGGGTGGATTTCATGCATCTGTCTCCTCTGTGCACCTTGATATCTCATCCATCTGCCGTGTCTTAGATCCATCTGTCTTAAAATCATGATTCCCCCCCTCTTCTTTTTTTTTTTTCCCTTCCTGCTTTTGTGGATGAAGGGAATTTAAACTGCTTGTCATCATTAGCTATTCCTTATTTTCCTAAGGAGCTCCACTGCACTCCTCCAAGATGGATTTTCATTCATGTTACCTGTGTGGTTTTCCTTAATCACTGCCAAGAAAAAAAAACCAACCCAAAGTCTTGAGTGTTCTCTTATGTTTTATATGTATTAGACCAAAGCCATAAAGAGGAAAGAATGGAACATACATATGGGGAAAGCCGTGCTGTGTTAGTGGCCAGCTGAGGCTCCTCTCAAAGTTTAGGAAGTCACAGGCAGCCTTGATGTCCTTCAGTAGGCACGAGGAATAACCACTGGTGTTTAATTATTATTGTCCTCTTTCCTGTAGTGCACTGATTTATGAGTTGCGTTTCTTTGGCTCCCTCTGCTCCCACTCTTCCCACCCTCTTCCTCCTGCAGTCTGTTGTCTGTTCTGGTGTTCTGCAGTTTGGTTCTTTGGTCTGCTGGGGTACGAGATCCCATTTCCTCTCTGCCCATCCATGTACTGGTAATGGTGTGCAAAGCCCAAAAATGATTCTGTGCCTTTCCCAGGGAAGGACTCTTCCAACATTATTTTCCTATCACAGCAATTTTACTTCCTGACTGCTGGATGGGCTGCACTGTGCTGGGAAGGTGGCCAGAGCAGGATGTGCTGTTCCAGGCTGATTTTCAATGACCACTTTAGGACCAAATAACCGGAGAAATGGGATTTTTTGTTGTATCATCTCCAGCTGTTCGGCTTGGGGGCTTTTTGTTCTTTCTCATTTCACCTCTTCAGGTTTCTCAGCTGTAGGCTCGGTCAGGCTGCTGACAAATGCTCTGTGAGTGGTTTTTGGAGATTGGTGTGTTTGCAGGGACTTGCTTCAGTAAGTTTTATCTTAAAATTGCTCTCAACAGTATAGCTCCTTTGGCAGAAGCAGTGGAGGAAGCTCTGTGCAAGACTGACAAGTATCTTTCCTTGGAAGTAGAGCCAGGTAAGAGTGGAATAGATGCTGGAGATCTCTTGGATCCTTTTGGCACCACTGTCTGCCACTGCTGCTCTCATCAGCACAGCTGTCCTAGGGTTTTTGGCAACCATGGACAAACCCTTTGTTTAGGAAAAGCAAGGAGTGCTTTTTTTGGAAACGTGAGGGGTGATTGTGCCTGGATGAAGTGCAAGGATGGTGCCTACCAGCCATGGCTTTATTATGCAAGTGTAAATTAGCAGTTCCTTGTCCCCAGCTCATGTATTTCCTAGACAGAAGATGAGAAGCCAGGGATGCCCTGTGATTATGGAACATTCTGTTCCTTTGTGTGTTTTTAACCTCCAGGAGGCTTTTCCTGAGCAACCTCCTCAGTATTTAATGCTGTATTTAATGCTTGATCATGACCTGCGCTGAACACACTGATAGTGAGGTGGAAAGGCACCACTGGAGGTCTCCAGCCCTTCCCTTGCCCAAAGTAGGGGTTCCTAGGGCAGGCTGCACCACACAGGGTCCAGGCAGGCTGTGAGTGGCTCCAAGGATGGAGAGCTCAAAAGGGCAGCCCTTTCAGTGCTTGCCAGTCTTGCAGGAACAAAACTTTTAAAAATAGTTTCTTTTTATTTAGTTTTTTTTTCTTCCCCCTTTTTAAGTCTTAAGTGGAATTTCCTGAGTTTTAATGTGTGCCCATTGCCTCTTGTCATGTCACTGGGCACCAGTGAGAAGAGCCTGTTTCTGCCTTCTTTACTCCCCCATTAAGTATTTCTGCAAATTGTGGGCACTCCTGATTCCCAGACATTAATTGACTGTTGCAGGTTTGTGGTTGCTTTGCACTGTTGGTCCTTCTTAAAACTGTGAGGAAGTCAGTGTTTTGCCCGGGGGCAGCAGCAGTCCCAGACTTTCCATGTGCTCTTCGCCCTCAGAGGGAAATCCACCACAGATCTTCACACTCTGCCTTCACAGACACCCATATTTGAACAGGACCTGATTATCAGAGCCAGAAAATCATAAAGCAGAAAAAAACAGACTGTCTTTAATAATGTTGAAGTGAATGTATTTGCAAAAGCTGCATTTTCTGTTCATTTTTATCAGGCACTAAACCAAATGTCTTGTAGGATCTCTATATTGTACTGGTTGAAGGTGAAGGTTTACATTGTGTTTAAAATCAGGCTTCCTTCTTGAAGGCTGAAGGTCTTCAGTAACAATGCTGCAGCATTTTTAAAGATTTGCACCATCTTAACTTACAGGTATTTTGACTGTTTCAATTCTCTTGGCCCTTCTGACTCTGACAACTTAATAACAAAGCAAGGCCTTTGCCAAAAATGCAGCAGCCTTTGTGCTGTCATTCAAAAGTCACCTTAGGGTTTGGATCTACTTCATGTAATCAAAGTGTTGTTATGGAAGATGAAATGTTCGTTGGCATTTTAAGAATAGCATTTCAGCAAAAGCCAGCTGGCAGCCTCCAATAAGAGCTACTTCCCAGCTGGGTCAAACCAATAAGGTGACTCACAAGAGGGAAAATTCAGTTTATACCATGAATTTTTGTTTTGCTTTGTTTTTTAGTAGACTCTTTTTCAGGACTTCTGCCAGAGATGCTGTGAAAAACTTTCTTAATTGCTTATGTTGGGGCAAATGTCAGCAACAGTGTGGCCTAATACAAAACCCAAATGGCAGGGCATGCAAAGGTTAAAGCGAGTTTTCCTTCCTGGTGTTTCTTTAGCTTTGTTCCCTAATTATATTTATGGCAGAACAGTCTCACGTGCCTTAGATGAAAGCCAAGGCAATCTGGGCTATTTTGGTGGTTTGTGTGTCCCTTGTGCTGGGATAGAGGGATTGGGAGTTCCTCTGGCCTGTGCAGCTCCACTGCACCCAAGTTCCTAAGCACCTGCTTAACTTGTAGCACATCAGGATTTCAGGTCTAGTTCACCTGCCCAAGCAGCGTGTTTGCTTTTCCAGACTCTGCTGGAAACACTCTTTTGGGGACCACCTCTGGCTTTTAGGAGTTTGAGGGTAAGATCAGGTAAAAATCTTTTTAGGAGTTTGAGGGTAAAAATGCAATCATTGTTAGAGTGTGAATCTGCTAAACTCAGAGCAACGTCTTGGCAGGATACTCTTTGCCTGTACACTAAATCCACTGAGTCATGGCTATGTGAGATATTCTGCCTACAAGCAAATAGTTGCATGCCTGGAAATTCTGGATTGTCAGATATCCAAAAATCTTGACCAAATGGTCAGAATCCTCTTTTTCTATACCTGCAAACTCTTGGGGAGGAAAATATAGCAGGCACACACTTGGTTTATTGCTGAGATGCAGCTTCCTTTTAGTGACAGAAGTGTCTCCTGTGTGAGCTCCTGGAAGTGCCATGTGGGATTTCAATGGCATGGACCTGTGGGCAGAGCAGGCCGTGGGCTGACCAACAGTAGCATCTGAGTCATCAGGTTGGAGCTTTGATTCCTTGGTGCCAGTTCCTGCCTGGTGGTGAACACCTCTTGGTCTTCTGCTGGTCAGCAAACGATGTCTGAATTCAGAGAACACACAGTGAAATGAAATTGTCTTTTGCAGATTAAATTGCAGACTTGAGAGTTTGGACCCAGCTCACGCACCCGGTGTTTTCTTGCTCCTTATGGTGTAGCTGGTGATTGTTCCTGAGAAGAGAAAAGATGATGAGTGATGCAAGTGACATGCTGGCTGCGGCTCTGGAGCAGATGGATGGCATCATAGCAGGTAAAAACTTGGGGCAGCTGGCTCCTTTTGCTTTTTGGGGCCTCCCTTCTCAGGAGGACAGAGTTTCAGGCTGAGAATGGGATGTGCTTGTAATTGGTTTAGCTCTGAAGAGTTAAAATATGACTTGAATTTTCTTTTTCTTTTTTTTTTTTTCAAAATTGGAATGCTTTGGCTCCAAATATTTGACTTGGACCTACCTTGAACATGTGAATTTTTTATAAGTACCTGTAAATTGTAAGTGACCCTAGGAGAGGCATCACAAAGAATACAACCTCTGCTTTTTTAGTGAGTTAGAAAATAAAGTACACAACACAGAGGAGCAAAGCAGCAAGAATCTAATGGTTTAATCCTGTTCCAGCAGAGCTGTGCAAACAGCTACCCTAACTGAAAAAAAAATTCTGCAAGTATAGCAACACAGTTATAAAGTTTTTAATAGTTCCACTTAAATAATTCCCCTTAGGGAAAAAATAATCATACAGTGCATGGTTTGTTTGAACAACGACTCTTCTCTGCAGTTTTCCTGAAGATCTTAAGGACACATGGCAGGAACAAATGTAAAGGGGATTCAGTTTGATCATAATGATCTCTAAAAATACATATAAGCTGTGACTTTAGTAATTTCCATAAGTAGACACTGGTATTTGGATCCAGTCAAGTATTTGTGTTTCCAAGAGCCTGAGTTAGTAATGGCAGGATGAGGCTTAATATAAAAACAAAATGTGATGTTGGAATGTTTAAGTCACCACAGACTTCATTTACCCATGTCTCTGGACAGCCCTATAAAGTAATATAACAAAGGGGTATCAGCTCCTGTGCTGTTGTGGGGATTTTTTTCTCCTTATTTTTTTTAAAGGGAGTTTAGCAGAATACTTGGATTTTTGTGGCTTGCCAGATGAAATGAATGAAAGTTCATGGAGGTCCATATCATTGTAGTTTCTAAAAGTTGACAGTGCAAATGAAGGTCTGTCATGAATACATCTCATTGTGCCGAGGTATTACAGAATTAAGGTCACAAAATCAGTGTACTGGAATTATAGTTGGAATTAGCTAGGTTGACTTAAATCAACCTTAACCTTGAATTCATACTTTCCCTTCTTACTTAATATGTAGCAACTTCTAGTGTAGGTCAAATATACATACTGTGGGTTTATGCAAATGAGAGAATTTTCTCTTTATTAACATGCAAATGTCAGTGCTACCATGTCAATTTGCTGGGTTTGAAATCTATTGCTGTGGAGGAGTGATTTGGTCTTTTTATTTATCTTTGTATTTTCCTTTATTCTTTTAAAAAATTGAAATTCCTTATAGCAGCATAACATATTCCTACATGAAAAATGCAGGGCATGGTTTCCTCTGGACACCATCACTCCCTGCCTGGGATCATTCAATCTCTACAGGGTGACTCAGGGAGTGTGTTCTCCCCAGCGTACCTTTTGTTTCCGATACATCCTGGGGAGCCTTGAACCCACGGGCACGGTTGTGGCGTTCCCAGCCCTTGTGGATCAGCCCACCTCCTTCCTGCTGGAGCTTTCCCAAATGTGTGGGCAGAATCCAGCCCCAGCGCTGAGTTTGGCTGGAATAAACTCCTGCCAGGAACAACCACTGCCATTTCCCAGCGTCCTTCCCGCTTTCCTGGTGTTGACACCATGTGGTTTTGCTCCTTCCAGGTTCCAAGGCTCTGGAATATTCAAACGGCATCTTCGACTGCCAGTCCCCCACCTCCCCCTTTATGGGGGGTCTGCGGGCGCTGCACCTGGTGGAGGATTTGCGGGGATTGCTGGAGATGATGGAAGCGGATGAGAGAGAAGGACTGCGCTGCCAGATCCCAGACTCCACGGCGGAGGCTCTGATCGAGTGGCTCCAAAGTCAGATGGTACAGTCTCACCTTGTCCTATTCCCTAACAGGCTCATTTTGTGTCTTAGCTAGACTGGCTCTGCTTTATGCAGGTATTAAAAAAGTTTGGAGTAAGTTTTGGGCAACCAAAGGGAAGAGATTTTGGGTTGGAGGTGCTGCTGTGGCGCCTTGGAAAAGCTGGTGCTCAAATATCTGTTGCGATGGGTTGGGCTCTGCTTTCTTTGATGGGAAAATAGAGGGAGCAAAAAATATTTGGTCACTGCTGTTTCATCTCAGAGGGCTGGGGAAAGACATTTTTATAAGAATCAGATGCTTAGGTGGAGGGAAAAAGTTTCTTTCAAAGGAGGGCAACCAAGATGGGGAAGGGTCTTGAGGGGAAGCCATGCGAGGACACTGAGGGCACTTGGTGTGTTCAGCTGGAGGAGACTGAGGGGAGACCTCACTGCAGTTACAACTTCCTTGGGAGGGGAAAAGGAGGGGCAGGGACTGAGCTCTGCTCTGTGGGGACCAGGGACAGGACCCAGGGAATGGCCTGGAGTTGTGTCAGGGGAGGTTCAAGTTGAATATTAGGAAAAGGTTCTTCCCCCAGAGGGTGGTTGGGCACTGACCAGGCTCCCCAGGGCAGTGGGCAAAGCACTAAGGCTGACAGAGCTCAAGGTGTGTTTGCGTGATACTCTCAGGCACATGGTGTGAGTCTTGGGGATGGTCCTGTGCAGGGCCAGGAGTTGGACTTGATGATCCTTGTGGGTCCCTTCCAACTCGGCATATTCCATGAATACTTTTCACTAAAAAGCATTTTTGACAACATGTTTTCTACAGGAACTGGTGTTATTATTGAGCTTCCTTACCTGATTCACACAGAATTGAGTGGTATAAGCTCATCATCCCTTTAATTTGGTTTAATATGGTTTAAACCAAACCATATTTATGTTTTCTGTGTTAGTGAATCAGCCAGTTTTTGTCACCTTACTTTAAAAATACACAGAAATATAACTGACAAGGCAGTTCTTTCCCTACAACTTGGTTTTCCCAAAAAATCAAAGATTATTCAAGTGTAGGTTACCTGAACACTACCCTGGGAAATAAAATTGTGTACTTACCAAAAGGTGACTTAAACAGCATCATTTTTGAAGGAGCTGCTGGTTTTGCCTCCAGGTGTCCTTTGACTTGTGACTTCCGAGCAGGGCCAGGGAGGAGTCCTTGTGTTTGTAGTCTGTGGCAAGGGTTGTGTCGTGGTGGTCCGGGTGTGTAGAGGTTTTGGGGAAGCTCCAGCACTGGAACTCAAGAAGTTGGGGTGCAGATCTGGTGAGGGCTGGGTGTGATGCAGGACTGTGGTGGCTCCGTGTTGTGTGCACCCTGTGCATTGCCACTGTTGGGACAGACAGCCAGACAGCCACCATCTCCTGGTCCCTTCCCAGGATGGGCATCACACCCCCTAGAAAGGATTCAGTCACCCTGGAGCTACAGCTGACCTTGCAGAAGGTGTTTTTTATCTCCACAAATGGATTTATTTCAGTGCTCAGAGGACTGCAGGGTACAGGACTCTGTGTGCTGTGGCTGGTGCTGGGTGGCCCTTCATGCCATCTGCTGTCATGGGGGCTGAGCACAGCAATGTGGGGACAGATGGGGGCCTGGGACTCGTTTCTTGCAGAAAGGTTTGAGGGGAGAGACTTCTTTTTCTGGTTTGTTTTTTTTTTTCCCTTTGCTTTGAACTACTCCTTTGAAAATGCCTGAAACTTAATGAAGCATGTGGGAGCTTTCCCACTGTCTCCAGTGGGATTTGGACCTCGCCTCCACTGTCAAAGTGTGGCAGCCAACACTGAGATCAGGAGGAGGAGATGGGAGTGACATTAGAGTCAGATCTTTAAAACACACAGAGTTCCTGCCAACACCAGCATTTCCTTCCTGCCTAACAAACAGCAGTGAACATTGCTGTAACTAGTCTGTGTGGAGCAGAAACTGAGGGACATAACAGGTTGCATGCAAGTATGGCCTTTATAAATCAAAAAAATGCCAAATAAACAGTCTTGGAAGGCGAACATTTTTCCATGGTGTTCAGAGTAATCTGTAGTCCACGATCGGTGATGCTGATCCACTTTGGGGTAAAGGGGCCCAGCAACGTGGCTGGAGGCTGCAGTGCCTGCTGAGATTAATAAGGTGTGACCTCTTGTGATGGCAAATGTGTGAGTTAGGGATGCCTGGCTGTTGGGATCTGGAATGAGGTCCTTCAGACCCGCGTGATGTGGAATCACCACGTGGCAATGAGACAGTGATGGATTTTTATTGCATCCATGGGCTGAGTGGGAGGGGAAGGGCTCTATTATGCCGTTCAGTTTAGTGTGTCTCGACCACTGGGGAAGATGTGCAGGGGTTGTGAGTACCAGAGATTGCAGAAAATTCCATCAATGCCTCAGTTATTCCTCAGTCTGCCTCAAATTATTCCCCCGTATTCTCTGGCATCCTCGAAGCCCCTGGGAGGAAAGACTAAACGTTCTACTTATACTTTGCTACAACCACAGGATTTGCAGCTATCACCAGTGTTGCCAGTCCGTGTCTCAGCAGGAAGGTGTTTAGATTGATATTAGGAAAAGGTTCTTTCCCCAGAGGGTGGTTGGGCACTGAACAGGCTCCCCAGGGCAGTGAGCACAGCACCAAGGCTACCAGAGCTCAAGGAGCGTTTGGACACCACTCTCAGGCACATGGTGTGAGTCTTGGGGATGGTCCTGTGCAGGGCCAGGAGTTGGACTTGATGATCCTTGCGGGTCCCCTACAACTCAGCATATTCTGTGATTCTGTGAATGATTTGCAGGAAGGTGTTTTGCAACTATGCCCATCCTTACCGAGAAGGGAAGACATTTCCTTTGTTTGACACTTGTTTAATCCTCCACTGGACTGTTCCAAGCTGCTGGAACTGGTGTGTCACATCCCATCCCAAGCTGTAAGCAAGCCTCTTGTGTCTCAGGGGAAAACAAAAATAGTGTTTGCTGCTTCCAAACACTGTGTCACAAGAGAAAAATCCTCTCCTGGCCCTGCAGGGAAATCGCTGGTGCCCGAGTTGGGAAAAGGAGATGACAGCAGTCTCCCAAAGTTGCTTCTGTGAAATGGGGCAGAGCACTCAGTTCTGCCATGCCAGGATAGGCTGCCCTGTGTCCCTGAACTGCTTCCTTTGTGCTCCTCTCAATGTATCAGGGAAGTCTGTGCCCCTTCAAAAAGGGCCAATTAGTTAAAATGCCTCATGCTGATTTATTTTTCTTTAACTGGCGGGTGCCAGGTGGCCACATGACACCAGAGCACACAGACAGTGCCTCGGCATCTGGCAGAGCTCTTTCAAGAGAATCCATGGGCTAGTGCCCACGGGGAGCTCGGAAAAGTTGTACATGCAACTCTCTGCTGCTCAAGTGAGGCAGTTTAACCATAACCCGTCATTCCAGCTCAAAACTGACCTCTGGGCTGCTGAAACCCTGCTCACATCTCCATGTGTGCATGGATGTCACGTGAGTGTCAGGGAAAAAATTACAAGGACATTTGTTCCAAGTCTGGAAAGGGGCTGAGGCCTTTCTTAAGCTCAGACACTCTGCTTTTCCTGGTGACCAGACCTGTAATCCATAGCCAGGCCATAACTGTTGCAGAGTTCTGGAGATTTTTCAGAATTCTCTTGTTCAGCAGAAATATTTAGTGTGTTCCAGTGTGTGCTTGAGTAAAGTGTGTGCTGTACTGTGGGAAAATGGAGCCTCTGGCTTGAACACAGACAGCAGGATCTGTAACATCATCACCACCAGCAAGACCATTTTAAATGAAACTCCACATTTTGCAGCCCTGTTGTGTCCAGCTGGAAGTTGATAGATCTGTCTCTTGGAGGTAATTCTCAGAAATCTTGGTCCCAGTCAGGAATGTTGCTCCAGTTTTTCTTCAGTTGAAACAAGAGATAGTTTTCTTGCTGGTTATTACTTTTCTTGAAAGTGTTTAGGGTTTTTTGGTTTTAATTTTTTTAAAAAATACATCTTATGCAACAGCCTTCCCAGAAAGAAGAAACCGTGTCTTGTTAAAAAGAGTGAAGGAAGGGAGTGGGTGAACATTCTCTTCCCACGTCTCAGAGCCATTTTCCCCAAGCTCCTGATCTGAACTTGTGTATATGGGTCCTGTTGAGTGCCTTTCCCTCTTTAAAGGATGTGCCCCTGGGATGAATGAGCCAGGATAACACTTCTTCTCAAACCCACAGCAAGTGCAACTGTGGTGTTAGCTTTGGAAGTTACTTTCTGAATTTTATATATATATATATATATATATATATATATAAATACATATTTTATTAATTCTTTTCACTCAAGAAGCAAATTTCTGAAGTTAACTGTCAAGCAAAACAAACTTTATGGCCTCCAAAGGTTTATTGAATTATGTAGAATCATGGAATCATTAAGGTTGGAAAAGACCTCTGAGATGATCACCAAGTCCAACCATAGAACATATTCAGCTCATCAGAAGATTAATTTAAGCTGTGGGATCCAGAGTGGCTTGTGCAATCCAGAGTGTTGCTGCTGTCTCACAGACCAGCCTCAGATTTGGACATTTTTTCAACAAATTGGTTCTTCCAGGCGGTGACTGGGAGTAGTGAGAGTTAATAGGAGGGAATATTAGCTTTTAGAGAGAAATTTTCCTCGTGGATAAACATGGCTTGTAATCTTACTGAGGTATGTTGACCTATTTGGGCAGCAGGGTGGTTCCCCAGGGGAGGAAGCGGTTTGGTTAGCCAGAAATCATCTCATATTTCTTATTCATGGAAAAGTCTCATCTTCAAACCAAAGTGTGTTGTTTGATTCTCTTAGTGTGGGTGTACAGTACAGTCATATGGTTCAGCTTCTGCTGCTGTTGGGTTTAGCTATCAAAAGGTCCTATGGTAATGTGTGGCACATGGGTGTTTACCACCAAATACTTGAGATCCCTCCTCAAGTTTGCAGTATGAAAGGAATCTTGTGATACTGTCTCAGCCTGTCATCATAAATTCTCTGCCAGCAATACTT